GGAGAGAGAGAGAGAGAGAGAGAGAGAGAGAGAGAGAGAGAGAGAGAGAGAGAGAGAGAGAGAGAGAGAGAGATGGGGTTCTTAGCATATGGTGCAGAAAACCCAGTATGAGCATATGGTGCAGAAAACCCGGTATGAGCATATGGTGCAGAAAACCCAGTATGAGCATATGGTGCAGAAAACCCAGTATGACTTGTTGAAATGGCAGCGTCTGTCCCGGTCTTTCGTTCGCTGTTTTTCTCTCCCCCTCTTACTTCGATCAGTTCCCCGTCTGCCTTTGGCTGCGATGGGCTTCCATGGTATCTTGTGCGTCACACTGCCCAAGTGAGTTGGCTACTGATGTCTGTCGTGCTGATCCTCGTGAACTTTCAAACGTCACGTTTGCAGATGTGGATCTGGCTTCAAGGAAATTAGCTTCGCTGAAGGTCGAGGAGCCAGCGGAAACAAAGAAAGAGAAACTCAAAGGTTTGTAGAACAATTTCCTTCAAACGGTGAGCAGTCTGCTGCTCGGGCGAATGAGTGTCTTTTGTACTCGCGCCAGCACTAGGTTAATTTACCTGACAGCATTTACGGTAGGACCTGGATGCATCTGGCCGCAATCCCGTCCAGAACTGGCAGGTGTGCACTTTTTGGAACAAAGTGCTGTTTGATGTGGACTTCTGCAGGGTTGCCATTGGGCTATCATTACTGATCAACTTCCTACATGAATAACGGCGCACTTGTATCTTACATGTGCCTGACTGCATTTGTGGCCGAACCGGGATGCATCTGGTCGCAATTTCGTCCGGAAGTAAATAAAAAAGTACTACTGTGTGTATGCCCTAAGGAAGGAGACAGAATGTGAGGTGTTGAGGCACGTGGCTTCAGGATCTAAAGCAGGCAAAAATTATCCTCGACTCTAGGCTACCAGCCGGGCCGTCCGTTTTTTTGCCCGGGCGGTCCGGCCGTGCAAGGACCTAAGAAGGTCCCAGCAAAAAAAAAAAAAAAAAACTTAAAAAATGTGAAAGGAAAATTGCTATGCGGAAAAATAATATGTACAACTTTTGCCTCAGGGTCACATCGAAATTCTTTATCCACCCCCCCCAACAAAAAGAAGGCCCAGCTGGGCAAGTGGTCCCAGGCCACGCTGGTAGCCCAGCACTGACAATAATAAATACCCCTGTAAGAGTGAAAATTGGACTTCCATCTATGATTACTGTTTTGTATTATGTAGTCAAATCAATTTAGTGCTGAATATTGAGAATGGTATGGCAATGTGCAGTGTCCCGTTATGCAGGCTCTCTGGGAAACTAAACGTCAGAAAACATATGATTGGAAGATCGAAATGGAGAGGGTATACACTGGGTCGTCTATTGGGATACATATTGCAATCAGTCATATTGGAGAATCAAAGGAGACAAGGAGGGAGGGACAGGAGACAAGGACGGGTAGAGCAAGTTCAAGGAGAAGATGAAGATGAGGAAGAAACAGAAAAATATAAAGAAGAAAAAGAAGAATAAGAATAATAATAAGAAGAAGAAGCTGGGTAGGCTATCTTCAATACCCAAAGGTGTGGGAAGAGGTCCGTGGTGGTGTTGGTTCTTGTTTTGAAATGTCCGTTGATCGTGGCGCTTAGAACCTGATGAAGCCCTCAGAAAAAACAGAACATGGAAAGAAAAGTAGATCGTGCATGTGCATATGAGAGAGAGAGAGAGAGAGAGAGAGAGAGAGAGAGAGAGAGAGAGAGAGAGAGAGAGAGAGAGAGAGAGGTAAAAAAATTGGGTCTGTTGGGCTTTGAGCAGGAAGCAATATGCAAACCACTCTTGCCCACACATTCGTAGGCATTCCCACCACTTGCAATATGACGGTGAAAATTATATGCAGGTTCTTACATGTCAAGGGAATGGTGTGTGGGTTTGTGGCAGAGGCTCCAAAAGAGGTGACGGAAGAGCTGGTGGCAGATGAGGACTTTGAAGACTTCCCTAGCGATGAAGCGCAACATGTGAACCTTGTGTTTATTGGCCATGTTGGTACGTGATGGCTTGTGTCTGTACGCTTAAAAGAGTCCCCTGATTTCTCATCTCTGTTGCGATGGTATTTGGGAAGTTTTAAAAGAGTCCACTGAGTTCTGAGCTTCTGGCCCGGAAATTTTTGTGAACTCAGTGTGTGCATGTGTGTGTGTGTGTGTGTGTGTGTGTGTGTGTGTGTGTGTGTGTGTGTGTGTGTGTGTGTGTGTGAGAGAGAGAGAGAGAGAGAGAGAGAGAGAGAGAGAGAGAGAGAGAGAGAGAGAGAGGATGAAATGAACTATTTTTTGGAGTCTGAGGTGTGTTTGCAAAACAGAATTGTGCAGCATGTGTAAAGGTGTTCATCCATTTTTGAACGAGTGATCCGAATTTGGGCACCGTTTCCATTCTGTTTATTCAGGTTGTCTGGCTGTTGTGTAGAGCCAGTTTCTGATGCGGATCCCATTAGCCGTGTAAATGGGTGTTTTGCCAGCCTAGGGATGAAGGCATGGCAGATTAAAGAGTGTGCTCCCGAGAATCTATCAGATTTCCGTTCGGTATCTTATTTTGAAAATTCTGCATCATTTGTTGTCTTCTGCATTGGTTGTTGCTCAGGTGGTGATGTGTGGTTGAGACAGAATTTCTTTATGATTGCTGACATTTGTCAGTTTCCGGATGTCTTTCCTCTGGATGTCTTATGTTTCGCAGATGCTGGAAAATCAACCATTGGTGGGCAAATCTTGTGAGTATTTGGCGTTTTGCTCCTTCATCTTCGTTGTATTGGAGTTGTGAAGGTGTTGCCTACTGGCTTCCCCTCAATGCAACGAACCCGCATCATGACTGTATCGAACTGGAAAGATAGCTTGCATGCATTAATGATAGGGATGTGGTACATGTAGTTGGTCAGAGCCACATTGCTCGAGTTCTTCAGTTCAGATGTACCTTCTGTTATTACAATGGCTAAGTAAAGGTGTTTCTGCGGGTTGGCAGAAGCAGATAGCAAAAGAGTCTGGCTTGTAGGAGGTTCAGCCCCTCCTACTGTGGCTGCAAATGCAGAGAAGAATGTAGAGGGCCGCACTGACCATTCTCCATTGGATTTGCAGGCCAAGGCAGAACTTCACCTGATCCACCACTCAGATAGCTGGCAGAGATCATTACCTTCTTCACATGAATAGAACGTCCGTTCATTATAGCCGTATTTGGAGCAACTTTCAGTCCAAATGCGGCCATACTGACTGGGCATTCTATTCGGGTGACGATGGTAGTTGCTGGGTCTCCATGAGTGGTCCCCTTGCAGATGTAGGTGAAGAGCTGATCATCGTTTGCAAGTGTTGGACCGAGAGGAAGAAGAAGAACGGGCAGTTAGTAGGTGCACGTTTACGAGTAGTTAAGACAAGATAGGGTGCTTGGTAGACTCCTGGCTTAGCAAGGAGTTATATTCACGTAGTGAATATTTGGAAGCTGCTGCTGCTCTTAAATATGAAAGTTCAGAATCTGGAACAGTCTATAATTAGCAAGTTAGCTAATGACACCGAGATCATGGTGACAGAATATGTTGTTGAGTACGGGATACTTCCCGCTTGGAGAATGTGGATAATGTGGAGAAGGTAGAAAAGGTGTTACACTCCTCGACTCTCTTAGTGGCGGAGAATTTACCCTTTGACATCGTCCTAGGAATGGATTTGACTGAGGAGGTGGTTGCGGACAATAGTATGAAGAGGATGGTCTGCGGAATCGCGGGTAAGGAGGAAATCAATTGATCTATCCTTTTCTGCCACGAGTCCGGACTGAAAACTCCACTGTCAGTGTGCTGCATGAGTGCACCTGTGTTCTGTAGGTGCGTAGTTAAGCAAGAGGTGACTGCAGAAGTGTTCATGGCCCTAGTCAAACCCTTACCTACAGAAGGAAAGACTGGAGAGCAAACTGATCAAATGGTAAAGATAAATTACTGCCCCCTACCGGAGATCTGATGAAACAGTTTGTGCAGTTTGGGAGGTACGTAGAGGCGCGACGGAAGAGGAAATTAAGCATAGGACGAAGGGGTAGATCAAGCCAAGCCTGTCTCCATATGGCGTGCACATGCTATTTGTGCCCAAGGAGGGTGAACTGAGACTATGCATAGACTATAGTGACCTGAAAGCCATGACTGTGAAGAATGCAGAACCATCGCCTAGGACAGATGAACTGTTGGGTAGACTGCAGGGATGTAAGTATTTCCCTGAGATTGATCTGAAGTCTGGGTGGCATCAGATAGGAGTAACTAAATAAGGTCATCATAACATTGCCTTCAGACCTAGATAAGGACGCCATGAGTGCTCTGATGTCCTCTGGAATGACAAATGCCTCTGCTAAAGTATAATGCTCAACAAACGATATGTTTAGAGAGTGGCTTGACAGATCATAGCGGTGTATTTAGATGCCATTCGAGTGTTGATCAGGTCATCAAAGGATTATGTCGAGCATTTGCGGAAAGTTCTGCAGAATTTGAAGGAATAAGTTTAAGGTCAACCCTGGTAAGTGCAAATGGTGCACAACAACACACCTCGGCCATGTAAATGATGGACATGGGTTGCACCTTGAGGGAAAGAAGATAGCTGCAATTGGAGACTAACCGATACCCAAAAAATAAACCAAATAAACCAAACTTCAGTCTTTTTAAGGCTTAGATAACTACTACATGAAGCTTGTATCTGGGAATGGGACAAAGACTGTACGTCATCCTTCCAAGAATTTAAGAAGATGCTGATAGAGTATCCTGTCTTGAAAATTGTAAACCCTTGGTAAATAAATGCGTAAAGAAGAGGCCAGAAAATGTAGAATAAACTGGTGGACTGTTGTTCATGACATCTAAAGGAGAGGACAGACTCAGCACTCGAAATGATGAGCCGATCCGCAGCACTATCTTACCAGGATGCCACGATGCTAGTGGGCATTTGGCTTGTGAAGGACTTATGCAACCCTGCTGCGTTCTGTGGTCGTTTATGAGGGCAAGCATGAAGTGAGACAATTTGGTGTTAACTGAGTTGATTGGCTGAGACTTCCTTCGGGTTTCATCTCAGACGTGCTTGTTTGTGTGTGTGCGTGCATTATATGATGTGAGCTTGGTGTTGACTTATCGTGTCTGATGGCTCTCAAAGCAATCTTGGGAATGGTGACAAGGTGTCTTAAGTCTTTTTTTGCTAAATGAGCTCTATGTACGGATCTGCAGGTACTTGACCGGGTCAGTGGATGAGCGGACAATTCAAAAGTATGAGAGGGAGGCGAAAGATAAGAGTCGTGAGAGTTGGTAAGTTCCATATGAAAGTGGTCGAATCCCGTTAATGGTCATCTGCACTACCCTTACAGGCTGAGTGGGAAAGAGTATATATGGTTTCTTATTGAATCTGTGTTTTGCTGCATCATGAATTGGGGACGGTGAAAGGTGGTGAGGAGATGCCTGATGGGTAATGGTTTGCTGCATCTACTTTTTTTTTTTTTTTTCGTGAAAAGTACACACAACACTGCTCCTATTCTGGGGTAGCATCAGTCTGGTTGCTTATCGCCGGCAAGCAAAGGGTAGAAGGGAAAACGGAAAAACTCCCCCGGAGGTGTGAGCCGGCATCTGAGGTACCTTTGCAGACACATGAAGACAGCAAACAGGAGGTGGCATTTTCGGGAGCTCTTTGGTCCGGGAAACATTACGCGTATGCATACGAACAAATGGCAGAGGAGGGGCATGCCACGCCCCTACTGCCAAGGTTGTATGAAATGGCAATGCGTGAAATGCTACATCATCATGTAATTGTGCCATCACATTGATACTAATTTGATAGTCCTTTTCAGTACCAGGAGGGGTTTATGGAATGAGATGAGTAAAGAGTAAATAGCATACATAATTCTATAACTGCATTGGATGAAGTTCATGAAAGCGATAGAGAGAGGATGGGGAAATGGGGTGATGGGGAAGGAGGAAGTATTATCATGACTAACTGGTGATGGTGATGGCTTGCTGCGTTGGGTGATCTTGTCATCTCATAGGTAGTTGGCTCAGGAACAAGGAGATATGATTTATCTGTCCTCTGACACATGTCCAATGACTGCTTCCGGATGCTTATCTGGTCGTGTTTCAGGTATATGGCATATATCATGGACACAAATGAGGAAGAGCGTGCGAAGGTGGGTTTGGTTTTGTGCTCAACTGAGAATCTGTTTTTGGGGAAAATTTTGTTTTCTTTTTCTTTTTCTTTTTCTTTTTCTTTTTCTGTGTTCGTGTGTGTGAGTGTGGGTGTGCGGTGCAAGAGAGAGAGAGAGAGAGAGAGAGAGAGAGAGAGAGAGAGAGAGAGAGAGAGATTGTCCTTGGCTTTGTTTTCGCTTGTTGTAAGATTTTTAGTAGAGGGGATCAGAACAATTTGGTCTCAGGATGAGGACGATTTTCGCTGGTTTTTACAATGGAATGGTTTTTCTTGGTCGGTACATTGGGATGGTTTTCTTCGGTTGGATCTTACTGGCTGAGGTCTTCGAGTAACCTTTTGAATTGGGATGGTTTTCTTCAGTTGGATCTTATTGTGTGTGGTCTTCCGGTTCTCTTTGATGTGGAGATGAGTGTTTGTGAGGATAATTTCTGTTCCACCCTTGGGTCCCTGCCATGGAAGACGAGACGAAAGGTGGGACTAGGGACAGTATCGGCTGCTCTTTTGACACATAGATGTGTGGAGAATTTCTTGTCGACACTTGCGTCTCTGGAATAGAAAGAAAGGGTGATCGAGTGTAGAGAGTGGATGATACTCTTTCTGAATGGCATGAATTGATTCATTGTCGCAGGAGGGATGGCCATTATCTCCACATGAATGGGTGTTGCGTGTGACGAAGTTGCGAAGATGGCCGGCATATTTTATCTGGTTTATTGTTTGTGCTTGTTTCGTTGCTCATTTTGGTCCAATGATTTAGGGAATCACTGTCGAAGTAGGACGGGCTTATTTTGAGACAGCGAAGAGAAGATACACAATCCTCGATGCCCCGGTACGTGTTGTTGTGGGTGTACTATGACTTGCTTCGTTGGCTCTTTCTTGTTATTGCAGTCATGCAGTGTTGAGACTTGCTGATGGCTGTTTGGGATGTTAATGTTTTCCGAGAATCTCAAATACTTGCGACCATTGTCAGTCTTGCACACTCGACTCAGATCAGAATACACATGATTGCAAACTTCCCATGAAATTGGACTTGACCAATCACAACAGAATAGTGTGATGATCCAGGAAAAACATAGACGGAATTTAGTAGTGCCTTGGCTCCTTGAGCAACATTCAACGAATGGCTCAGGAAACCGTTTAGTAAACAGCATGGTCACACTGTGCACTTCTTTTTTTTCCTCTCTTTTTTTTTGTAATTTGGACCGTGGGGACCATTTCTCAATTTCACTGGATGTCTGGAAGGACGACAGTGGGCACTTCTCTCCTTCAACTGTTGCTAAAAATTGTCCACTTCCGGCTTCACCAAGCTGCAAAAAATTGACAGATGATGTCTGCATGAGAAAGTGTTGTCTCCTCCTCACCTTAGGGCTATTGGGTCGATCCTAGGAAAATGCTAAATTTTGCTGTTCAAAACAGGTTTGTCGTTGGGTGTACTGTTCCGCCACATGGGCTGCTGTGAAACGTTTTAAAGCACCAGTACTTCGCCCGTACATCGGCGGGGCATTCTCGTGCACATGCCCCGTGACTTTAGGGCCCGGAGCAAAATGGCTGGCGGTGCCCGCCAACTGAAAGTTGCATCGATTCGTTTTATTTTGGCGCGCAGCACTTTTCCAGCAATGGAGAAAAGTGCCCTGGGGGAGTGAGCAGAGAAAACCAGTGGTGGATGAGTGGAAAGAGGAAAGAGGAGGGAGGAAGGGTTGGGGTGTGGAAGTTTGTGCTGAGGAAATCGTGACCGTCAGCATTGTAGAGTTTTTATGATTGGATTGAGCGCCTGAATCCGGACGTCTTCATGGAAAGGGGCAGAAAATTGACACTGGAGTCTGGACTGCTTCTCTGCATCTCTTCTTAAAACACGTCCATATTCCAGAGCTTAATCCAATCCTCTTTGCTGGTGGGAACTTGCCCCAGGTGGCCTGGATCAGGCAGCTCATTGTATGGTGATGGTAAGAATTGTGAAGAAGAACAGGAGGACGAGGAAGGGTCGGATGATGGAAAAGGTCATATTGGTATTGCAAGCGTATGCACGAGCTGCTGACGAGTCAACATGTGACGACCGAACTGTTGGTCGTCTGCCTGGGTCTTAGTTCGAGGGCATCATGGTGAATGGTCAGGATAGGGGACAAAGAACTCGCCTGTCCCTCCTGCGTTTGTTATCTTATTTTCTATTTGATTGGTTTGATGATTGCAGCTCTACGAAGCACCATTTCCCATTCAGAAAGGAAAAGGATGGATCCACCATTCCTATTTGGGTGGCAAGGGACTACAAGGGTGATGGGCCTGATGGCCATTGTGAACATCCTGTGTGATAAAGGAGGAGGAGGAAGAGGTGTGTCTGACAAAACAAAGAAGGGGTGGAGAACAATCAGGATAGCCATGGGGCATGAGGTCGGTGATGGAGTAGGCATTAGAGAATGTTCATTGTGAGCCTCTTTCTGTGGTGGTCGACAGCAGAGGCCCAATGGTTGCGAACTTTGGCACACCTGTGAGACTTTTTTCTGATGAATAATACAGTGATCATTGGGATTGATGTTGTGTGATGAATATGTGGTGACAGAATGCATGACCATGATACTAGTGATGTGATGGAAAATTGTTTTAGAACTTTTTGTATGACGACCCCAACAGCATAACAGTGAGCAATTACTGCTGTTTGTCATTTGAATATCACGAATAAGAAAATAGCTGTGAGTACTAAGTGGACAATTTTCTGTGTGAAGTTGTGTGGGCAAATGGAGGGTAAAAACCCGGATATTTGTATGACTGGCTTCTTCCGCTGAATACAACGTATGGTCATTTTCGCTACATCTGGACTGAAATGTGAGCCAAATACGACCACAATTTCCGTACGTTCTATTTGGGTGAAGACGGTAATAGGCTATTGGCCATAAATGGCCAATTTTGCACTCATAGATATGAAGGCCTCGTTACAGAGTTTTTATCAGTACGAAATGTATTTCTGGTGTTCGGAAGCAGACGAGCTTGTGTCAGAGCAACTAAGAGCTTAGAGCACATATATCCAATGTATTTTCAGTAACTCCTGCTTGCGTACTTGTTTGAGTTCCTTTTTATGATCGGGCCCCGTGCATTGTTTGTGTGGATTACAGGGCCACAAGAACTATGTACCGAATATGATTTCTGGAGCTTCTCAGGCAGATATTGGTGTGTTGGTAAGGTTCTTATTTATGTCTCAAGCCGTTAAGAATACCCCTTGTCATTAATATCTAGGTGAGAAGATAAGATTGGTCATTCAGATCGATTATATTTGGCAGATGAATAAACTTTGAAATGGCGGAGAGAGAGAGAAAGGGCAAAGGACAGGGTAGTGAAAGAGAGGGTTGGGAGAAAAGTTTGTGCGTGCGCGAGTGAGAGAGAGAAAGAGTGTGTGTGTGTGTGTGTGTGTGTGTGTGTGTGTGTGTGTGAGAGCTGTCTCTTATACACATCTAGATGTTTCGTTCCTTATTAGTCAAGGCAGTCTATTTCTATATAGGGACAGAGCTTTTAATCATCAGAAGATTCGGTCTCCAAGGCTGATGAAGAGCAGCGCACGTTGAAGCCTTGCTCTAGATCGTCATTCTGAGTAGAATCATCCGCATATGACTGATCCTTACCCTCCACCAGGTCATGCACAACAAGGCGGTTGTTGCATCCATAACGCTTGCGGGTAAAAGGCCTCTTGCCCCTTGTTGTGCTTGCAAGGTCTACAACCTCTAACTAGACAACATCCTTCCTTTGAGTATGTGAGTTTGGCAGCCTGTATATTGCTGGAGTCCTAGCCGGGGAATGTAATACTTCAGGACCGAACCACGAACAACATCCAAACAGGAAGCGCTGCTCATCTCCTGCCCACTTAAGTTGGCCCAGGCAGTGTAGTCCCTCAGATTGTTAACTTTTCTTCTAGCTTTGAGGGCAGCATGTGGATCATCATACTGTTTAAGCCTTTAAGGATTATTTTCTGATGTGCGGCCACAAGAGTGGCCTTCAACCATTTGGCTAGGTCAAGCCTTGTATAGCCTGCCTCTACAGGCTAGAGTTCTAAGAAACCTGTATGCGGGGCTCCACTTGGTTGCTTAGGATCGAAGCTTGAGTGGCTTGCGGTGTTGCTAGCACCTCAGAGCATGCTCTCGTCGAGGTAATCCAAGATGTGACATCCTCTTTCCTGTTGTGCCAAGGCGGGAATCTGTACTGCCTTCTTGTTCACCATGGGACTGCTCTATCTATGACCAGCAACTGCCGTATCGTCACTTGGGGCTGCAACAGTTGCAGAACTTCTGGCGTTGTCAGTTGCTGTAGCGGTCCCAAAGCTTGCAGCTGCTGCACTTCCAGCCTGGCTGACCACCGTGCTTGGGAGGCATTGGAGGTACGACGAGCAGACACTTTAGTGACTTGGGCCTGCTGCATATATGCAAACTTCTGCAGTTTTTCATGGTTCTCTGCGATCTTTGCCATGATATCCTGCAACTTTTGACTTCATCAAATAACCAGGAGATCTGGCCAGTATGGTCTTCAAGAGACAGGAGTGAGGCCATCTTTTCTACAATCTGCTCGGTAGCAAGTGCAGGGACAGTCTTAAAGATGGCCTCTTGGGCCGCAAGAGCAGTTCTTTTTCTGTCCTCCTGTATTTTCTTCCTCTGTATTGCTCTTTCATAGGAAATTTGAAATTGAGGTTCGTCTGCCTCATGAACTATGTCCATTTGGGCATTCCATTTACCCTTCACTCAGTGCCACAGTGTAGGATTGGGGGTTAGTAGGCCTCTTAAGAGGGGTGCTCTCTTTCTTTACCTTCAGATGGACACTCCTATTCCCTTTCCTTACTCTCTCAAAAGCAGCACTCTCTTCCGCCCTTCTTTGCCTCTGTCTTTTCTGCAATTGAGTCACGACAGGCATCAAGATAATTCAAATGAAGAAACAAACGACGTACTTGAAGAAAGAATAAAACTCGTAGCTGGAGTGGCAATTCATTTGAAGTCGAGAATAACAATGTTGAGCAAAAATAAATAAAATAACAAGACAGGTCTGATTTCACTATTGGGTCCAGACAGATTACACAGGAGATCCACTCTTACCTAATCTATTGCAGATCAACGCGAACAGACATCAGATGCAGGAAATAAATGAGATGAAGCAGTGGAGTAGACACTTGTGAGTCAAGCTGCGGACCTGGTGTCGGAATTTGTGGAAAAATCACAATCAAGGTCCACTTGAAGGGGAATGTTCCATCCTACAGTGTCTTCTCCTTCCAGCAAGTCAGAGAGCGACCTGTAGCGGCATTAAGCTTGGTAGCAATGTGACTCCTTTTTGCTGGAACAAGGTCCCACTAGGTACTCAAGGTCCCAGGTAGGTCGGTAACCCAAACGGCGAAGAAGAGTACCAACTTGCGTCCCAGACCTATCCCTGCAGTGGTGAAAGAAAAAGACAAATTCAGACGGTCTCTTCTTAGCTCTTACCAATTCGGAATGAAAAATGAAAGCACTGTACAAAGATATGCTATGCTAATCAACCTACTCACAGAAATGCAATGCTAATCAAGCTACTCACATCCATCCATCCATCAGGTGAGCAAGCAGTGTACAAATGCATGCACGTCAGCCAAGACAACAGAGAACAGGAAAAGAAGTCCAGCATACCCCATCAGGCTATGCAGCACCATGCACTCAACCATAGGCATCCCCCAGTTACACGGTACTTGCCTCTGAGATGAAGTACAACCCCTCCCCCCTCTTGTACACCCTCCTGACCCAATTTAGCAACCTCTACTCTAGTGTCCTAACAATCTAGGAGGGTCTACTTCACCAATGTACACCGCCTCATCCCACGTTGATTTTGAAGACCGATCACCAATTTGTAGTCATTCGGTGCAGCCATGGCTACTTCACCTCCTAGTTCGTCTTCTTGAAGAGAAGCCCCAAAGCCGCTTAATGTCCTCCTCAAGCTTAAGAGCTCAGGTTCGAGTCACCTCTCACTCTCTCCTCCCTCAACTCACCTCAAACTGTCACCTCCTGGGTCTTGCCAGCACATTCATCAACTCGGTTAACCTGGTCAGGGTCAACATCGACCCTGCACGCCCTAAATGAGGTGGGGGCAGCTCCCACATATGCTGACACCCCACGGCCAACCTAATCCTTCCCTAATCTGACGGTAACTTGCCATAATTACCTCGGGTTAAGGATAGAGCAACAAGACATCGTCTCTCGAGCAATTAAGTGCTGCTTGGATACCAATTGATATGGTCCAAGCTATCTTGTATTGCAACAACTCAACGAAAGACAATGCCGTCCAATTGGAACGGAAATGAAAGAACTTTGAAAGAAATAGACAAAGGAAGGTCCAAGCTATCTTGCAGTGCAATAACTCAAAGAAAGACAATGCCGTTCGATTGAAACTGAAATGAAAGAACTTTGAAAGAAATAGACAAAGGAATATGAGGAAATGCTAATGAAGAAGGAAAAAAAGATGTACAACAAAGATCAATGTCAATCCCCCCCCCTCGTGACCATCTCCAACCTCCAATTACTCCCCTAACTTTTCCTTGACAATAATGATAATAACAATGAAAGAATGAACCAGAACCAATGTACGAATCCTCTCCTTACTGCCAGCCACTCCAGGGATGCACCATAGCCCTCTCATACACCTTCCTCGTACTATGTCGAGCGGGTGGCTGTGGGGGATTTTTTCTTAAGATGCAGATGGACATAGCAAGGTAAGCTTACCCCATCTGCCTCCTCCTACCTCCCAGGAAGCTCCTCCTTGGCCCTCTCCACAATAGCTGAGGTGGCATGCCAAGCTTGCGTTCTCCTTCCTCAGCACTGCTCCACCCAGCACCCGCCCAAGCAGTGTGTCGCCGAACTTGCATGCTGCAAATGAGGAAGAGCTTTTTGCTCTCTCTGAAGATATATGGGCCTACTGCCTCTTCCCGCAATGCCTTTCCAGGCTGCGCGACCTCCCAAGCCTGCCGGTACCTTTCTCGTGTCAGAGGGACACATCATTGCAGTCTGATATCCCTCGCTGCAGGTCCTAGACTCAGACTATCGGGCCAGTACCTCTAGACTCCAACCCTACAGACTTCTAAAAACCGTGGCCTCTAAAGGTACTACATTTTGTCATTTTCTGCCTACCTACCCTGAGTGTTTTCCATCCTATTCGGTCCTATCCTACTAAGTTCCCGCTGCATCCTCACACAAAAGCCATGGGTAAGTACCAGTCCTGAGGGTCTTTCCAGCATACAAGTACCCAGCAAGTCCTGCAGTCCAGTTGCACAATTCTGAAAACAGCAGAGTTCTCAGTCCGTGATTTTGCAGGTCGTTACATACCAAATAATTCATTCACGCAGGATCCCTCAGTGGTTGGAGGTTAGAATCCCTCGTTCACCTTTTCAAACATCAAGTAGAATGTGCTGAATATCCTCAGAAGCCATCATCGGTCTTGATGAGTCGGCGCAACTCCCTGATGAAACAAAGCTGTCGGAAGTCCTGTTTTCTTGTCCTTTTCTCCCTTTCTGCTGACCAAAAAGTCCACCACAGCCCCCTGTTTTGTCCTTTTCTCCCTTTGTGCCTACGGTTCAACTGGCAGCGTTATGCTATTTTAGAGTACGGTGAACCATATTGAAAACCTAATACTGTCTGCACCGTATTTTAAAAGAACATAATACTGCCTGGTAAACTGCATGCACAAAAGGAGAAGAGGACATGACAGTGGGCTGTGGTGAGCCTTTTTGTTGGCAGAAAGGGAGAAATGGACAAGAAACCGGGCTATTGACAGGGTTGTTTCATTGGTTTGGCCGACTCGTCAGGATCTATGCTGGCTTCTGAGGATATTCAGGTCGCTCTGCTTGATGTTTGAAAAGGTGAACGAGGGATTTGAGCCTCCAACCACTGAGAGATCCTATGTGAATGAATTGTTTCTTGAGTGCATGGAGGGCCTGTTTTGTTGAAGTACTTCATGCATGTAATTCCAGGATGCCGGATAGTCCTCTCTGTTGTGTAGAGGGATTCTAGCCTCCAACCTCTGAGAGAGATTTTGGTATATGCCACACAACTGATATCTCCAACCGTTGAGACATCTATCTGAAGCAGAGACGCCGTCATTGTAGCTCTCTCCCACATCAGACACAGCGCTGGATTACCAAGTTGAGGATGTCACACCCTACCGAATTGTTCAGACCCTACTG